GGAAAAGAAAGAAAGTACATAGATGACTGGTTTACATATGAGAATGTCATGCAAATTTTTGGTCACACCTCAGCCAATCACCAACTTCTCAATCTAGATATAAACGGGTACCATGTGTGACCAGCAAATTGGTTCTATGAATCATTACATGGCATGAACAAGAATTCCTTGAGATGAGCAGGTGCTGTATTGTATTTTATCCCCTCAAAATTATATTACAGGCACTGAGGCTACATTTATGGATGTTGGCTTTAATAATAAACTGACTTAGGAGGTTGTATTTGTTACAGAATGTGAAGGTCAGGGTCAGGATGGTCAGTAATTGGCCAAAGTACTTTGTGAGTGGGGAATTCTGACAGTGATGGATCGCCTTTGTCTGGTTTTAAATACAAGTCCAAAACAGTGCAAATTCAACAGAGGACTGCCAGAATTCTGAAGTGTCAATACGCCTACAATATCCAGGTTGGTGACTGGCTATAACCAGCTACAGAGGGATACTAAGCCAATGTGTGATATGTTCATGTGATGTCATTCCTCCTATGTACCTCTTAGAATACAAGTTGTCACCCTTCTTTCATAATAAAATACATAACAAAAAGAAATGGTCCTTTTTGTTAATACTGTTTTATATAGTAGCATGTGGATCCAGAGATGAGACAGAATGCAACACATTTCTTGAGTTTTCTGATAGAGACTGGCAGTTTCTTTAAAAATTTCACTGAGTAGGTATTTATTCTAAAAAGTACCATGGATAAAGAGAGGAATTCAGCTCATTAGGAAGATTTCATATTTATTTATCTATGGACAGCAGATGAAAATTATTTGCCAACACTTAAAGAGTATTCTTATAAATAAATATGAAGTGGTTATTTGGCAATAAACACTCCCTTAAAATCTCCAAATAACTAGTTGTTGAAATTTAACCCCAAATGAATAAAAAACTATTAAAATAATTTGCTTGTGTTTTTCTCTTGCTATCTTAGTATTTTCTGAAATGAAAGCTAAGGAAGGGCTGCAACAGTGGTATGTAAGTTGGTCATTACATCCTGTTGAGGGCAGCAGGTCAAGAGTTGGAATAGTGTCAGGAAGAAACGAGAGAAACAGGGATGGGACATTTGAGAGTAAATATGGCAGTTTGGGATAAAATGACAATTGAAAAACTGAAAACCATTCAAACAGGAATCATACATATATTTAAGATGAGAGAAAAAAAATTGGAAACACTATCTTCAATGTATGTATATATATATATATATATTGAACTTTTTTTTGCCTGCCCTCAGCATGGCTGATGCTAAACTCCAGGAGAGTAACATACTATGCCTTTTTAGCCTCATGTGTTGTGCCAGAAAGGTTTTCTCATCTGAATCTACCAATCTACCACTATTCGTGCATGCATTAAATACTATTGCCATATCTGGCCTGGTGCTCCCGCTGTACATATAGATATTTAACAAAATCCAATGAAGGATCTGTAAGGTAATTGATTTCAATCAGGCATCTAGTCAGTCATTTTCTCACTGACATGACATGGCTTCCCTCTGTCTTTTCTATACAGATTTTCATAGCACATGAACTTTTTCCCCTGGTGCCCCAGCTACCTGAATTTAAGCATAGCAACTAGGTCCCACCATTTTACTGTAAAAATAACTAAATGCAACTGCCAATTGTATTCCAAAAGTTTATTTTCTCACACTTCCCATCTGTGGAGCTCACATTTTCTTGCTTCCGATAACTACAATCTTCAAAAATTTAATACCAATGTTAATCACCATCTTCTATCTTGAATTCCATTCATGTTTTGTCCTTCCCTCAATCCTTCCTATTCTCAGTCTTATTCTATTTCATTCCCTGTAACACACTGAATTCTAGTGGCATTTCTGCCTTGCTTGAGATGAAATGATTAAAAAGAAATCTGAGTTTGAGTTACATATTTTCTCAAGATTTTAGTGTTCAAGTCTAAGCAAAAACTAGGTTTTTAATTACAGCTCTACCCTTTCCACTTGGCAGTTTGCTTCATTAACATTCCTTCTGTGTGGTAGTTCCCTTTAGGATGTGAGAGATCATGGCTCTCTACAACTTCCTGTTTTTTGTAGCTCTTAGCAATGTTTGCCTCTGAGTATCACATTTTCCAAGCCCTCTTTCCTCATTATGTGCCCTAGAAATTTCAACTGTCCTTTCCTGATGTTAAATATAAGTGTCCTTTTTGTATCCATTTTCTCTAAAGCTTTGTTGTTTGCTCACATGTTTAGTCGATAATATTCTCAGCATCCTTCTATAGAACCATATTTCTGTTGCCTCAAGTCTCATCTTCACTGCCATATAAGAGGACTAATATTACATAACAGTTCAGTACTCTTGCTTTCTAATGAAGTTTGCTTGTTTCTTAATACTTTGCTTAGCATTTGGAAGGTATCTTTTACTATTGTAATGAAGGTGGTAAAAGCAATATTTTTTCTGGTGTAGGGCTGTTACTTTTGCTAACAACCCTGCATTCTGCATCCATTTTATGATCAAATTACCATACGGAGTCCTTCAAGGTATTTCTCAGGACAATAAGGAGTTTCTCATCTTTTTTTTTATGGACACGAGTAATTATGGTTCTTCATGTCCTTTTAGCTTTAAGAAAGATTTGAATCTTTATCATCTCTCTTTGTATAAATAGAGGGTAGAGCAGAAACAAACACATTAGCTGTGGGTGTTTAATTCTCCAAAACTTATGTGCTCCAGAAAATTCAACTATTTTTAATTTTAAGTATAAGTGACTTGAGTTCCCCATGTTATTTAAAATTTCCTCATTGCTCACATGTTCAGTCCATGGTATTCTCAGTATCTATCTATCAAACCATGTTTTTGTCACTTACACTCTTCATCTGTAAGGAAATTGTCCAGTCATATATGAGGATAGATATGAAACAGAAACAAAGAAAAAGGTGTTGACTGATAATTAAATTTTTCTTAATATTTGCTTAGTTTCTAAAAGGCACCCTTTTTATTCCAGTACTAGGTTAAAAGCCACCCAATAGAACAGCATTTAAGCCAGCTCCTGTGGAGTGCTCTTGATTGGGCCTTCATCACAAAAGGTAGGGAGGAGTAGAAGGGCTTAGGCAACAATAAACTACAAAAGAACAAAAAAATTGATTGTTGCATTTAAGTATTGCATTAAAATGTAAGCTTACCTTTTAAAAGTTCAATGATAATTATTCTGCTGTCACTTAAAAACAATTTGATGTACATAGGTCCTTACTTTCTGTATAAACAATTATTGTTATTTTATGGGTGACCTTCACTGGATTTCTCAATTTTGATTATTCACAAATTTATTTTCAAGTTATAAAAATTGTTATTGTATAAAAAAAAAAAATGATAAAAAAAAAAATCATGTAAAATATCTCCAAGAAACAATTGCAGTAATAAAAACTTGGGAATCCAAAATTTCAGGATTGCAGGTCTGGATCCAGCCCAGAATGTTTTTAATTTGCTCACAGAGTCAGCCTGATTCCAAGATAGTGACATTTCTGTACTTTCTTGATTTTGAAGACTCCAATTCATGGCACATCTTCAACTGCCTCTGATGACCAATCAGTCCGTTATAAAGGAAAGCCAGAAGAAAAGACTATCTTATCTAAGAGCTATTGCAGTTTATAAGTCTATTAACACAGTGTCATCTGTTAAGTTTATGTCCATCAATAATAAATCTTGGTAGGTCTTCTAGATTTCTTAGGATTGTCTTGTATCAGTTAAAGAAATCCTATCTGTCCACTTTGTATTTTTATATATCAGTTCAACTTTTCTGTCTACATGGGAGTGGTTTGTTCCCAGTAAAATCAAGTTTTCCTAGCAGTTCAATTAAATTTTTAGTTTCAATGTTTTGAACAAAAGTTATAGTTCTTAAAACTAAATGATAACATAATTGTGAAAGACTTCAAAGACAAATATGCTGAAAGTTATTAATTGTGATAATCCATAAAGAAAAACTGAAAATTGAAAAGATGAAATTGGAATGAAAATGATAGAATATATGAATACTAATTCTAATTAAACAAAGATATTTTACATGTATATAAATGAGAAAAGATGAAATCCAGGATATTAGAGACTGTCTGTTGTGAAGGAAATAAGACATTCCTACTTAAAAGTAGTTGAAGTGTTTGAAAAGAAAAACAAAATGTAGAATTAAAATTTCTGCATCAAGAAAGAAAAACAAGTTTTTGTAAATGGAATATGAAAGGAAAATGATTGTGGGGAGTGAAGAGAAGGATATTTTGGGGAATGAGGAGGACACACAGTTACAGGGGAGGGATTGGGAGCTCATGAGTAGAGTAGATGCAGGTTTTGAGAGTTTGGTGGAGGGTGGGGATCCAGAAAAAAAATTAAAAAGAAAAAAAATTGAATGCTGTCATCAGAGTGCCTTTGTGATCAGAAACATTTTTTCCCCCCATGTACTTTTTCTATTAAGTCAAATATTGTTCTGCGCTTATTAAAAAAAAAATATGCAAACCCAGCAGGCTTTATCAGACCAGAGAATTTTTGTAAGTGGACACTTGTAAAGGAGATGTTCGTTTCATTTCTCTAACAACGCCCAAGTTTAACATTAAAAAACAAGTTAAAATATGTTCAAGGATTTCAAGTGAAATATGACACCAATTAAAAAAAAACAACAACACAGTAGCAACAGACTTTAAGAGGCACTGAAAGAATTTCTTCATTTTTCAATAAAGAATCAAAATCGAATTAAATTGGATAATGATTAAATAACTTATTTTTTCTCTTAAAACAAGCATTCTAACTAATACTATAACCCGATTTGGAAAAAAAAAATTGTCCCTTAAAAGCCACTCAAGGTAGAGGATTAGTGAATGATGTTGTATGAACGTAAGTGGAAGAGGTTAGAAGTTTGGATATGTGGGAAAGATAACGGTCAACCCTAACCTTGAACAGGTTAAAATTGTAGCTTATCCCAAAAAGTAACTTTTTTTTTGTTTTTGTGGATACGAATGTTAAGCTTTGCTATGACAGTTCTGGGGAAATGCGAGAGAAAGACAGAGACAGCCAGTGGGGGGGGTGAGAGGGAGAGAGACACAGCGAGCGGATGGGGGAGGAGAGACACAGCGAGCGGATGGTGGAGGAGAGACACAGCGAGCGGATGGGGAGGAGAGACACAGCGAGCGGATGGGGGAGGAGAGACACAGCGAGCGGATGGGGAGGAGAGACACAGCGAGCGGATGGGGGAGGAGAGACACAGCGAGCGGATGGGGGGAGGAGAGACACAGCGAGCGGATGGGGGAGAGAGACACAGCAGCAGGGGGAGACAGCGGATGGGGAGGAGAGACACAGGCATGGGGGAGAGACACAACAGCAGGGGGGAGAGACACAACGGAGGGGGGGAGAGAGAGAGCACAGCGAGCTGATGGGGAGGAGAGACACAACGAGCAGGGGGGGGGGAAGACACAACGAGCAGGGGGGGAGACACAACGGAGGGGGGGAGAGACACAGCGAGCAGATGGGGAGGAGACACAGCGAGCTGATGGGGAGGAGAGACACAACGAGCGGGGGGGGAGGAGAACAGCAGGGGGGGACACAGGAGAGGGGGGAGAGACAGCGAGCGGATGGGGGGAGACACAGCGAGCGGGGGGGAGAGAGACAGCAGGGGGGGAGGAGGATGGGGGGGGAGAGACAGCGACAGCGAGCGGGGGGGGAGGAGAGACAGCGGAGCGGATGGGGGAGGAGAGCAGGGGGGGGAGACATTGATGGGGGGGGGGAGACATTACGACAGGATGGGGGAGAGACATTGCGACAGGGAGGGGGGGAGACATTGAGACAGCGAGCGGGGGATGGGAGGGAGACATTGCGACAGCGAGCAGAGGGGAGACATTGAACAGCGAGCGGGGGGAGAGAGGGGAGACATTGCGACAGCGAGCAGGGGGAGAGAGGGAGACATTGTGACAAAGGAGCGGGGGGAGAGGGAGACATTGCGACAGCGGCGGGGGAGAGAGGGAGACATTGCGACAGCGAGCGGGGGAGAGAGGGAGACATTGCGACAGCGAGCAGGGGAGAGAGGGAGACATTGTGACAGCGGAGCAGGGGGGGAGAGGGAGACATTGCGACAGCGAGCAGGGGGAGAGGGAGACATTGTGACAGTGAGCAAGGGAGAGAACCTTTAGATCTATTGAGGTAGGAGATGGAAGAGTAGCAGAATTACTTTGTACAGAAAAATTTTTTTTTTGACAACTGAATGCGAAAGAATGTCAGACAAACAGGAATAACAGCAAGATGGAATTTTAGGAATTTCATTTCTTGCAGAATGTTTTGGAATTTAATGGAGACAAATTCATAAGAAATGAGAAAAATATAAAGAAAAAGGGTAAAAAGAAAGAGAAGTAGAAGATATTCTCCATCTCCATATTCTCAACTCTGTCTATCTTATAACAATAAAAATCAAATTGGAAAGGGAAATTAAGATTAACATTTAGATGAAAAAAAAAATATGTTTACTTTTAAAATCTTGCTGCAATCAACATTTGATGTAATTGTATAAAGGTTTCAACTTTAATAATGTGTGAAATTACTAAAAGATATGTGCCTGTGATCTTAAGGGCATGGTAACATGATTGATTAGATCCTGTTATAAGTATGTGGGTATGTGAGGTTAACCAGCATTTGGTAAATAGCCAAAAGATATCTGTTGAGCTAAAGTTTTTTTTTGTTTTCTATTAAACATATCCTATCCCCCTGGTTACATCATTGGTTTGTTATTGCCTACAGTCAATTAGATATACAGTAGAACTCCCCACATCCAAACAGCATAATCTAGATTTCTTCAAATTTGAACTTCTGTATTGGCATAATCATGAAGCCTTTTCTCCCTTGAATCAGAACAGTACCCTCAATATCAAACCTCTTAGATGTTCGGTTTAGAGGAGATGTACTGTATATCCCTATTTTTGTCTTCCTTTACAGATTGTAATTGCTTTTGAATAAGATATTTCATAAATTTTAAAAATTTATGAAATATCTTATTCATTTCATAAAGTATTTTAGTTTTTCACAAATCACAAATTACAATACTTGTTTAGCACAAATTTTTTCATTACTATTGTCAAATATTTTTTGTACATTTATGTATTCAATCTACACTTTAAATCTAAATGAATCAACATCACAAACTACTTTTTGTATAGTAAACTCTCAAACTTAAAAACTTTAAGCTTGCTACAGCAGCCTTTTCTTCCTCAAATCCAAACAGTACTTTCAATACTGGACATCTCAGATATTTGGTTTAGAGGATTTGTACTGTACTTGAAAAAAAAAAAATATTTAGAAATTGGAGCCAAAGATAAATTTTTATATTAAATAAAAAATCTGGCAATTTTATCCTTGTGAATTAAAGGAGTTTAGTGTATTGAGATTCTCAGAAGGTTCTCTAATAGAACACCTGAAGAATACTAGTACATAGTGTTCAATAATCTGCTTTATACAAAATCTTATTAAAGCTTTAAAAATGAATATTTTAAAAGTATATACAAAAATATCCAACAAAGAAGCAGAAAAACAAAGTTGAGGAAAAATATACCCTACAGAGTAGATTAATCATCATCATCAGATGGAGAATACTTTTATGATTCTCTTGACTCATTCCCTCCAACCATGTGTCAGACATTGCTATCAGCAGGTCCTCCAGATGGTATCCAGTCATCCACAATTTGGTCAATGTAGGTATGATGAGGTCTTCCAACCAATCTTTTACCATGCAATGGGTTCCATAGGAGGGTGTCACTCACAAACTGACTTACTTCTCCAGAAGTGACCAGCTAGCTGAAGCTTTTTTCTCTTAGTAAAACTGAGATAGGAGGAAGATATTCATACATGCATTTCTTTGAGTTTTTCTCCCAGCTGATGTCCAATATAACATATAATATCCTTGCGTATGTTCCATCAAGTGATGCTTCTTGATGTTTCGTCAGTGTTCATGTTGTTGAGGAGTAAATAAAAAAATTAAAAAGAGGTTAACCAATTATTGCTGCTCACTCTTCAGAGCCAATCTAGGACAAAAAAAAAAAATGGAGGGAATGTCACCTCTCAGAGAGAAAGACCATATATAAACATTTAACGAATCCATAGTGCCATTCTAATTACTATCAGAGTTTCTTCGTTTTTCTAATGATGTTCCCCCTGTACAAGGTCCAAGAGCCATGTGAGGTAGAGGGTTACAGAATAAGAGGCAACACCCCAAGCAAGGTGATAATGTCACCAAGATGTAAGGGCTGCTGGAAGTGAAAGAGAAGGAAAAGATTTTAGAAGCAAATAGGAACCCAATCCTAAACAGGAAACAAGGGATAAGCTTCAACTACTGTTCAAAAGACCAGGGAGGTTTGTGAACCAGATGATAGGTGCATGTATCTTTGAAAATACAAAAGTATTCTGCTATGAACTATAAGAAAACAATTGAACATGTTAGATGCTTTTCACATCAAAAGACAACAACCCAACATCAATAAAATTTGTTTTAATCTCAGCATGCTCATGTTAAAATGCCTTTGAACCATAAGGTCATGTTAGTCATGTGATGCTAAATCATTTCTCCACCACAGTATTTAAACTTGCTCATTTCAAATTTTAGACTTCTTTCTTCTTTTATGTGCTGTGTCCCTTCAGGATGTAGGTGATCATGGCTCTCCACTTCTTCCTATCTCTTGTAGTTCTCAATATCTTTTGTCCTTTTGCTACTTCTCCCAGACCCTGTTCTGCCATTCACTTGCTTAAGCCCACTAAATGTGTCATGCATTGCTTTCCCTTGTCTCTCTTTCCCTCTATACACCCTGTAAGTATCAGATTCTCCAAGCCCTCCTTTCTCATTATGTGTCTCAGAAATT